ACGTCAAGTGACTTGGCCCAGGGTACATGGCAGGTTTATGCCACAGCAGGCGATGACCCTGGACGGTGTGATTGTATCCATCCTGTTTTGTGTATGTGTGGCATGTACATATATGTATGTGTGAGCACGTGTGTGGCCATCAGAGGGCAATCTCAGGTCTTGCTCTTCAGGTGGCATCCATCTTTGTTGTTTTGGTTATTGTGAGTTTTGTTTTGTTTTGAAACTCGCAAAGTAGACTGGACAGCTGGCTAGCAAGCCTCCGGGACCCACCTATGTCTAGGTCCCCAGCACTGGCCTTTCAAGTGTACACCCCCATATCTGGCTATTCAGTGTCCATTCTGGGGATCCGACTCTGATCTTGCTGCTTGTGAAGAAAGCACTTTCTCACCTGAGCTGTCTGCACAGCTCTCGCCTATCTTTTTAGCCACACCGCTGGGAACTGTGGGTCGGGGGTGGAAAGGGAAATTCATTAAAATATGCCACACAGTTTAGTAAACGAATCAGAGCTCCACATGAGCCTGTCTTTGGGAACAGATGTGTATGCTTTGGGTTTTCTATTTGCCTGCATCACTCTGCTGTTGACCCGAGAGCCATCTTTGAAAAAATTGATGTTAATTTCCTTCAGAGATTAGTCGTGGGCTTCACTATCACCTGAGCATTGACTGTGCTGGGCAGCGTCTGTGAAGCCTAGTGGAGTGAAGTGTTTCTAGAAGAGCCACTTTCTGAAAGTCGGTGCCTGTTCGTGTCAGATATTCGTTCAGATGCAGGGGCCCGCACCTTTCCTGAGTGCAGTAGCGAAACTCCACATTTGAGCAGAAAAGCAGGCAGAATTACCTTCCATCCACCTGGAACTCTACAGAAAGTCATCATCCCTGCTCCACCTGAATTCTGTGACTGCTGGGACCTTGGCTTAATGAGGGGTTCAGATGAGGGACAAGCAGATAAGAACTATTGATGCGGGTTTGCTGAGATTGGGTAGTGGGGAGTGATGACAGACCCGGGCATGGGCATGTGTGTGGCTGCCACAGCCGCTAGTGGGATGCCCATGGAAAGCTCAGCATTTTAACAGTGGGACTGGATATTCCTTTGTTGTGGGGACACCCAACTGTGCTGTGGGATGCTTAGTAATGTCTCTGGATTCTACCCACTGTGTGCCGTTGTATAACAATCAGAGAAGTCTCTAGACATTTGGAGATAAAATTATCCCCCTCCCCAATTGACAAGCTCTATAATAGACTCCTTATGCATCTACATAAATATAGCAACTACTTGTCACCTTGGGACAAATACAGATATGAGCAAGTACCTCAGCGGGAGGTACTTTTTTTTTTTTTTAATCATTCTTCTTCCTGACTTTTGGTCAGCTGTTGAGGGTCTAGGGAGGTCTCTGGATCCCTAATATATGATGGATGACAGATAGGAGAAGCCCAAGTGACCGTGAGGAACAGAACCCTTAATTTTTAGCTGCTTAGAATGCAAGGTGAAGAAGAGATAAACCATTCTTGCATGAGGCTATAGAGATTGGGGGTACTTGCATTGGCCTTCAGTCTACCTTGTCTGACCTTCCCTGACATTTGGGATAAAGGGACCTAGCTGGAGCATCTGGGCCAGTATTTCAGGTATGAGGGAAAATAGGGATTTCAACCATCATGGGATAATGATCAGAGTTTTTATGTGTTTGTTTTATGTAATATCAGACTTCTTGCTGTAATTCTTGTGATTTTGTATTGTTTTTAAAATAAAGAGGATAAAATGAGTTTGGTGTTTCTACCACTGTAATCATGTGGACATGGGAACAGCAAGTATTGAGCTGTGTGGACTTTGAGTGAAAAGTAGTGAAACCTCAATTTTACTAGCTGTTTTGATCTTGCCCTGTGTACATGGGTCTGTAGGGTGAGACCAGGTTGAGACACTTGTGGCAGTGTGCGTAATTTATCTTAGCATTCTGGGGGAGGGGAGTGGCAGATGCTGATGCCCCGCAGCTACAGCTGTTAACCACACCATTAATAAATGAATCGCTTTGTCATATGAGCATCTTTGAAGCAGACCCTTCAATGCTAAGTCCAGCTAAACGATGCGGATTAAAAACCTGGACCCAGAAGCTTGCTTATCAGAGTAAACTCAGTACAGTTATTTATGCTTGTGTTTATGTAGAATTTTTGGCCAAAATATGTAAGTCAAATGGTTTCCTTGGGTGCCCATCTGGATAACAACAATAGGACTGTTTATAGGAGACAGTGGCTGTCTGTGTAGCAGCCTTTTGTTTGATGAAAGCTTTCTGTTTGTTTGACTTGGAACCTCATGTGACTGCTCTGTCACTCAGAATCCATTCCATTCCATAGAGGAGCACTCCAGTGATTTTCACCTTCCCTGTCTGTCACAATCTTTGGCAGGCTACAAAACACAATCAGATTTGACAACAAGACAGTGGAGTCTTTTCCAGTAGCAGTGCTGCTAGACATTAACGTAGCAGATGCCTATGTTTATCCATTGAAAACATTTCCACTACAGTAAAGGAAAAATAGTTAACACCGACAGTACCAGTTACGTTTGATACTCTGTGCTTTGTGTATTTTTAAATATAGAAGGTTGTGTTAGGAGCTGTGATATATGGATGAAGAAAGTCAGGCACAGAAGTTAAATGGCTCTCCCATGGTCACAAAGGGCATCTCTGTGACAAGCTGGAGACCTAAGTTTGAATAGGCCTCTGGGACGATATGTGGGGAACTCTAGCTGAGACCCCTAATAGCAGGGGCCATGGAGACTGAAGAGGACATCCCTTAACTAGACAAGACTCCTAGTGGAGAGAGGAGAACACCAACCCACCCACTCCCACACACAAAAACATTGATACAATACTTACTCTTCCTACAAGACCCATAGGGACAAAGATAGAACAGATAGAGCAGAGATTGAGGGAATGTCCAACCAATGCTGGGCCCAACCAACACATACTCCATGGAAGAGAGCCAGCCCCTATCACTATCAACGATACTCTGATATTCTTGCAGACAGGAGCCGAGCAGAGTTGTCCTCTAAGAGGCTCCACCTAGCAATGGTTTGAAATAGATGCTGAGACTCACAGCCAAACACTAGGCAAAGCATGAATCTAATAGAAAAGTGGGGAGAAGGATAAAAGGACCTAGAGGTGACAAGAACTGCACAAGAAGCCCAACAGAGGCAACTAACTAGGGTCCAGAGGCGCCTGTAGAGTCTGAAACATCAACCAAGAACCATGCATGGACTGGACCTAGGCACTCTGTGTATATGTAGCCGATGGGCCACTCAGGCTTCATGTTGGTCCACTAGTAAGAGGAGTGGGGGCTGTCTCTGGCATGGACTCTGTTGCCTGCTTTTTTATCCCGTCCTCCTGAGGTGACTGCTCTACCAGGCCACAGGGGAGGAAGGCAAACTCAGTCCTCATGTGACTTGATGAGCTGGGGTGGGTGAACAGGGGGTGCTCCCCTTTTCTGAGGAATAGAGGAAGGGAGATGGGAGAGGGAGGTTGGGGCTGAAGGAGAGTAGAGAGGGGGCTATGACCTGGATGTAAAGTGAATAAATAAATTACTTAATTAAAAATAGAAGAACCCAAATACAGTGGCTCTAGAGTTGTTGGTACATGTTGCCTTTGCAAAATGCCTCCTCAGCCTTCTCACTCTGTCCTGGGATCTGTAACTTCAACTCTTTTACTAATGCCTCAGTGTGGTTCTTGGTATTGCTGCTTCATATGTGTGTGGGTTCAAATAGTTGCCCAACTTGGCTCATGTTTTGCATTTTGTGTCACATATTCCGTAGCGTTTCATGTCAGAAGGTCCCAAGTTAGCAAGGTGATTGGATTATTTTTACGACAGGAACTTACCTTGAAGGCGTGGGAACATGCGCACACAGGATGCAAACGTCAGGGTGGTATTGGCTGAGGTGATGACAGAGTTTGGGGTTGGGAGGGGATGACTTCCCGCCAGAAGATTTGGGGAGGCTTTGTGAAAAAGTAGTATCCAACATCCTTCAAAGATTAGGTAGTAATTGTCAGGAGTTATGGTCATGTGGGGAAGTGGCAAAATCGACAGCAGCAGGGAGGCAGGAGATAGTGCACCCTGTCCTCTGGACAGCAAATGGTCCACACAGCTGGAGTGTAGAGGATGCAGTAGAGACATTGAGAAAGGAGGGAGACAGTTGGTGAGAACAGGGCCTCGAAAGCTATTTGGCAAGAAGACGTGTTTTGCATCAGGAGGAGGAAGTGAGCATGAAGCTTTCAGATGATGAATCCAACAGCATTCTGAACTCCAGTGAAGGGACAAAGATGAGGGTGCCTTGAGGTCCACAGATGTAGTAAAGGCCTGAGCTCAGGGGAGAGCAGCGAGAGTAGAAAGGGGGGATGAATGCCCCAGGTCCTCAGAGGTGAAATTCATAGGATGGCCCAATTGTACAAAGCAGTTGAATGGATGTTCTCAATCAAAGTTACTGAATGGATGATGTTGACAAATTCCAGCTAAGGACCAGATTCAGAGAGATCAGTGTTGACCTTGGAAACAGCATTGAATAAAGAGGTCAGCTGGACCTGTGCGAGCCCATCTCCAAATGGCCACATACTCAGGCTGAACCACACTGCCACAGTGAGGAGAGCTCCCTGGAAAGCTGTCCTTAGAAGGACACAGCGCCAAAGCTGACAGGAATAAAGGAAAAATGTTTCTGTTTCTGTTTGTTTTTAAGGAGAGAATATTTATTTGCATGCACTGAAATGAACGGTGTTATGCTAAACTTACAAGATAGCTTAGTTTATATTTATTGCTACCGAGCTGATTATGATTTCTCCTGGATTTAAACTACTTAGGCATTTTCTGGACTGTGCGTAAAATGAGTTCCCATGGAGCCTGCCTGGAGCAAAGGGAATCTGGAGGACGGTCCTCCCCACACAGAATGGCTAACTTTCTCTCCCCAGACACTGCTGGAGCTGATGGCTCCTCAGGAAGCCTTTGCCTTTATTCTTCTGTCTTCTGCAGATCCTGACTCTTCCTTCAGTTCTCCCTTCAGAGGCTGCCTCTGAATTCCTGTTGAGGTTCAGCTGCCACCACCATCCTGCAGGCTTTAGTGGACCCCCAGCTGTGCGTGCCCAGCTGCTGACCAGACAGTGACAGATGTGGGTTCTTTGAATGGTGAGTCTGGTTGATACATTTTCCCATTCCCTGACCATAGCTGGTTCTCTAATATTAAAAAGCACGAATACTCTGTTTCTGCCTCCTTTCAACTCTCCTTAAGGACTGTAGCAATGCCATGCTTTTTATTTTATTGTTTGTTGCATTCCTCCACAGTGCTTTGGATAGTGTGTCTGCCATGGCGCTAGTTGGCTGAGGGCTGTATCACCAAGAAAACCTTTTATCTTCATATACACTAATTATAGCATGCTAGCTGGTATGTGGTCAGACGGGTAAGGTGTTGGTTATTACTATTGGCTTAGTTAAATGTGCTTACTGCTTAGGAGACAGTGGCGTGTGAACCCCTCTATATATGTGTGCGCGCTATAGAAATTGAACCCAGGGCCTTATGCATGCTAAGTTCATCCTCTGTCAGTGAACGGATGACATTAAAATTAACTTTTGTATAATTAAACCTTACTGTGTGGATTGTAAAAGGAGCAAATGATGGTCTGAGGAGACAGGTCAGTCAGTTAAAGTGCTTGCTATGTGAGCATGAAGACCTGAGTCCCATCCCCAACATCCATGCCAAAGATAGGCACACACATGTGTGAGGTGACACACGTACACGCACACATGTAGTTACAGTGTGGGAAGGTGGAGGTTGGTGGATCCCTGGGACTCATGGCCCAGTCAGCCTAGCTGAATCTCTGAGTTTCCAGCCAAGAGAGACCCTGTCTCAAAAACAAGGTGGATGGAGTCCTGAGACCTGACATCTAAGGTCGACCTCTAACCTTCCCAAAGATTGTATACACACACACACACACACACACACACACACTGTCTGTCTATGTCTGTCTCTGTCTCTCCATCTCCCTTTCTCTCTCTCACACACACACACAAACACACACATACACTGTGCAAATGACAGTACTCCCAACCAGGTTGTGGAGATTGCAAGTTTTGAATAAAATTTTAAGCCATAAGTGACTTTGGTATTTGAACCTTTAGAAGTTAAAATATAACAGGTACTAAATCCCAAGCATTTTACAAAGTCCTCTAAGAATTTTCCACTTGGATTGTCACAGTACTTTATAAATAGGTTATATATTTTTAAGTATTTTCATTAATTCTCTGAGAATTTCATATGATGCCCTTTGATCAAAGTTTCCCCCCTACCCCAACTCCTCTCTAATTTCCCTTCCATACCCTGCCAACTTTAAATTTACTTATTTTTTTTTTTCCTATCAAGTCCAGTTTGTATTGCCCATCTACTCTTGGGAGTGGTGCCTGTCCCAGTACATGGTTGACCTTCCAGAGGGGACATGCCTAATCTTATTGTAAGTTGATATGCCGTGTTTGGTTGACATCCCTGGAAGGCCTTTTTCAGTCTGGCTTGAGCTTGCACAGATCTTGTGCGGTTGCATGCATTCCCTTGGTGTTATCCACCACCTCTGGCTCTTACAATCCTCTGTCTCCTCTTTTGTGAAGATCCTCCTTGTGAGGAGGAGTGTGTACATTCTACTTAGGGCTGAGCACTCACTCTGTAGTCATTTATTCCCTGAACTCTGACCAGTCAAAGGTCTCTGTGATAACTGCCCTCTTGTGAGAGGAGCAAGTAGAAGGCAAAGCAACTGCTCTGATTGTTTTAGAAAGTAAGAAAAAACCAAGATGGAAACCCTGGATCCCATCAGGAGTAGCCCCAATAGGTTATTGGTTATACGGTGGTCTTTGCTGTAATGGGGCTAGAAAAGTTGCTGTGCAAACACGAGGATTTGAGTGTGAGTCAAGCATGTACCTAAAATGTTGGATGTGGTGGCCCACACCTGTAATCCCAGCACCAAGGAGAAAGAGACAAGTGGATCCTGGGAGCCTGTTTGGCAGGCAGCCAATCTAGTCAGTCAGTGAGCTCCATGACTCAGTGATAAACTCCATCTCAAAAAAATGAGTAGCGTATCGAGGAAGATATCCATGCTGGTTTCTGGCCTCTGTATATGCACATACATGTGCACACACATACACATTACACAGGTGTGTTCAAAAATACATACAAAGTTTATAGTAGTAGTCATTGAGGAGTGCCAATGAGAATAGAGTGCTCTGAGAAACAAAGAGAGCTAACCCTAATCTTTACTAATTGTTTATCCACTACTGAGATACGTTAAAAATGGAATGTTCAAGATATATAATATAGAATAAATGTTATAAAACCTGTACACCCAAAGAAGCTAAGCAAGAAGGAGGACCCTGGGTAAGATGATCAATCTTCATTCAGAAAGGCAAATGGGGTAGACATAGGAAAAGGGAGAAAACAAGAAATAGGACAGGAGCCACCACAAAGGGCCTCTGAAAGAACCTACCCTGCAGGGTATCAAAGCAGATGCGGAGACTCATAGCCAAACTTTGGGCAGAGTTCAGGGAATCTTATGAAAGAAGAGAGAGATGAAAGACCTGGAAGGGACAGAAGATCCACAAGGAGAGCAACACAACCAAAAAAATCTGGGCCTAGGGGTCTTTTCTGAGACTGATACTCCAACCAAGGATCATGCAGGGAGATAACCTAGAATCTCTGCACAGATGTAACCCATGGTAGCTCAGTATACAAGTGGGTTCCCTAGTAAGGGGAACAGGGACTGTCTCTGTCATGAACTCAGTGGCTGGCTCTTTGATCACCTCTCCCTGAGGGGATGCAGCCTTACTAGGCTACAGAGAAAGACAGTGCAGCCAGTCCTGATGAGGCCTGATAGGCTAGGGTCAGATGGAAGGAGAGGAAGACCGCCCCTATCAGTGGACTTGGGGAGGGGTATCAGAGGAGAAGAGGGAGGAAGGGTAGGATTGGGAGGGGGCTACAGCTCGGATTCAAAATGAATAAACTGTAATTAATTAAAAATAAATTGATATTAAAAATTTAAAAAAGAAGAAAAAAAATGTAATGCTCAGAAGTCTGAAGATTTTTATTTCAGCCACTCTTTGGTCTAGTAATAATAGAGTTGTAATTAATTATCTAACTGTGGCTATTTTGTTTCTACACCAGAAATTCAACTGGAAATTATAGTGCAACAAATAGCTGCTAAAGTCATGATGGCAGTAATTACATCAATGACATAATGTGGAAGTAGCAAATGATGAGGTTATTTAGAGGGAAGTACGCTTCAGTAGAGTAGCAAACGCCTTCTGAATGCAGGGCAAGCCAGAAAGGAAAGAGGCTCAACTATGGCTTTGTGGAAGATGAAGATGGGTGGGCTTTCATGAATGTTTGGAAGATTAAAATCTGGATTAGCCAGGCTTAATTCAGAGTCCTTTCTTTCTTTTTCTTTTTTTTTTTTTTTAAGAAAAATCTTTTTATTAGACATTATTGAGGTTTTTAGCTCTGATATTGAGTTTTGTTCAACCTTTATTGATCTCTGGAGACTCTTCAGTGACCAAGGTCGGACTTCAGTCATCAGGTTTGCTGTCCTTCTGGACTCAACGCTCTGTCTGAAACCCCCTTAACAAACAAAAAAGGCTATCTCTTGCTGTGAACACATTGAGAAGTCAGGCTAGCTGTACTTCCGAGGCACATTGTTGCCATTTACAATAGTTGAGAAAGCCTGAGACAGGAAGGGCTAGCTTGGTAGATCAAGTGCTCTGCAGCCCTGAGGTGAACTTTGAATTGTTTCTCAGAGAACAAGACATTCTGTTCATGGTTCAGGAATCCAGCCTGACAATCTGATGGCTCAGGATCATATGCCTCCAGCCAAATCTCTCTGCTTTGAAGGCTGGTGGGTGGGTGGCATTGTGGATTTTGTCATTAAAGTCTTATTCTTTGGGCTGGGGAGATGGCCCTATTGGTAAAGTGTTTGGCGAACAAGCATAAGGATTTCAGTTTGATCCCCAGAACCTAAGTAAAAAAAGCTGGGCACGGTGGCATGAATTTGTAATCTCAGCATTAGGGAGGAAGAGATTAGCCTCCTAGCCTGACCAAATCTTCAAGCTCCAAATCCCAGTGAGAGACCCTTTCTCAAAAAATAAACTAGGTGAGTAGTGTCTTAGGCTGCCCTCTTGACTTCCACATACATGCACACTTTCGTACACACATGTACACACAATTCTCACTCATTGTGTTGTAGAAAAGATAACGTGGATTTTGGTCTTGATGGATTGAGTGCCCTCTCCATCTCTCATCAACCCTGTGGTCCTGGCAAGCTACTCAGCCTTAATGAGGCTGGCAGAGCCCACCTGGGAGCTCAAGAGGAGGCTAGCTCTGATAATGCAGGTGTGGGAAGTTTTCTGGGCTGTATGATTTAGTTCTCAGAGTGATGATTCAAGGTAGGAGGTGAGGGAATGTCCAGGAAAATGTCACAATGTTTATGGTGAGTAGGTGGCTAAATACCAAGCCCCAATTCCCATCAGTTTCTTTTCAGTTTTCTGTCCATGATCCCTGTGCAAAAATAACTGTCACATGCGAAGGGCAACCCTCACACCTGGGCACTGTCATAGCCCTACAAGTGGTGTATACCATGACTTGGTTAAGGCTGACAGACGTGGCATGAAAAGTGAGAGCAGTGTCAAAACAGGAACACCAAAACAAGGCCAAAGCTCAGCCACTGGGTCTCCCTGCTCTGTTTCCTGGGGGAGGGACAGTTTTGCCTGATCTGCAGCTAGCTCCTTTTTGTTGAGCGTGAAGTGAGGTCTCTAATGTGTGGTAGAAAAATAGGGCTTGGACTCCAATTCTTTCTTGGTTAGCTTTAAAACAGGTCTCCCTCTTTATATCTTATAACAAAAGAGGAAAAAAAAAGTGGCTTGAAGAAAAACCCAATGGGGGCAGAGTTTGGACCAGGATGGCCTTCACTGAATTGAGGGGATTTGGAGTTTGTTCTCAAAGTGAAGACATTTGGGGAGAGGGGGGACAGGTTCGGTTTCCTACACTTTATCTATCTATCTATCTATCTATCTATCTATCTATCTATCTATCTAT